AGCTGAACCCCTGTGTTGGCTCCCTGTGAACAGGAAGCAACTGAATCACCCCTGCTAATCCCATCCCTTCTCACACTTTCAGAAGATGTGAGAAAAAGCCCAACCATTACGTCATTCCTGGTCACTGCCAGACACCCAGGCAGGCTGCGCTGGGCTGTGTTGGTGGGTGTGAAGCCAATGATCTCTTGGCTTGTGCAACACTGGGTTATCCTGTAGGGATTATGCTCGCCGTGCTGGGTCTGTGCAGGTAGCCTGTGGCTACCTTCTGCCACCTTCTCAGGTGACCTAAGTGCTCATTGCTGGCAGTGCTACAGGGCTGTCTTTGCCCAGCCCTCAGTCCAGGTCATTCGGCAGTTGAGATGAGTTTGGTTGGTGTAAAGTTTTCCCTGCTCCTTCTGGACCCTCAGCATGGAACTAGAAGAGGATAGTTGGTCATTCCCAGTTAACTGGGTTAACTCACAGGGTCCTCATTAGCTGCTCTTCAGCTTTTCACTTCCTCTCTCCTTCTCCTGTAATCCGGTTGTGAAACAGGAACCTGTTCTGCTGGGTAACTGGTGACAGCTAATGGCAATCCCAGCCACAGCCTCGTTGTTACACAGCCTTTCCCAGTGGTAAGATGCGGCAAAAATCGATTCTTGGAGCCTCCTTCCATTCATGCTGTGACCCAGTTAGAATATGTGGTGACACATCCTTTTTCCCCCTCAGGCTTCCCTGCCTGTCTGTGAACTACTCTGTCCCATCCCTGTTTATCCTTTTCCTGGACTCCCAGAGAGGCTCAGCCCAGAGGTCTGGCCCCCAAACACTGACCTTTGTGCTCTTCTGCTCCACTTGGCAGGAGAATCCCAAAAGGGGACCTGAGCAGCCCCTGGAACTGCAGGTGCATCTTTCTGCTGCTCTTGCAGAAGGTTACAGCTGCAGTAAGAGCAGCAGCCTGGGGATTATCGTGCCTTACACTTTTGGGTCAGACATATCTAACAGGAAGGGTACACTTCCAGGCCTGTGCAGGATTTGTTTGGAGTTTTTTATCTGTTTGACTTTTAGCTGACTGTCCTGATCTGGCTTGGGCTTTCTCCACCTATCCTGTTGCTCATCTGACTCCAGCCCACAGCAGCCCTTCCAGCACCCGTGTTTTTCTCACTCCTGCACAGGGTTGAGAAATTGCAGAGCTTAGGGCCACATACCAGCCTGCCACCTCAACAGTTTGTGCTGGCTGGATGGAGATTGCCAGTCCAGCAACCACACAGCTGGGTCCTGGGGACACACCCCAAATAATTTGTCTCTGAGAATGAACCTCCCTCATTCTTTCCATGGTTTCTGCTGGCACCACCTCTGTCCCTCTGGTGCAGCTCTTCCTCACCTGCACCACCCACTGTCAGAGTCACCTTTGGCTGCCTCTTTCCTGTGGTGAGAGCACCCGTGGTGTGTCTCCCAGGTGGCCCTGCCAAAGCCTTCCTCACACAATGGCTTTGCTTGCTGCATGAGTATTACAGGCCAGGGCAGTTTTTCTCTGCCCGTGACAAACTCATTCACAGCAGAGGGAGTGTGTGTGGGGGGGGGAAAGGGACTAGAGGCTGGTGCTGGAGAAACACACCTGATGACCTGTCACCATGCAGGTAGGTGACAGGTGGTCATTAGCCTGTCCTCAGGACCACCAGCAAGTCACTGTGTAGGGTTTCTGCCTGGGACACTCTCTGGAGGACTGAGCAGCCACAGCTCCCATAGCTGCAGGGGTGCTTTGTTTGACATCTCCCATCCTTTTCAAACCTGTCTCACCCCAGATTTGCCCTCTTGGTAACCCTGCCCTGGGATTCTTGCCCTCAGGTCTGTGTATTTTATCAGAAACTCATTCCAGCCTCCTGGGATACAGGCAAAGGCCAGCTGATGCTTGTTTTCAGGCCTGGGGCTGTCTGACCTAGAAAGCAACAGCAACAACTCCTTCCTGGTGTCCCGTGGAAGGATTGTGCTCGTGTGAAGGCTCACTGTAAACCCTCCAAAATACTCTGGCTTTGTGCAAACATCACTGGTGGTGTTTCCCCTGGTCACCACATGGCTGACTTGTTTTAAGAGGACATTAGAAGAAAGACCTTTCCAAAAGCAGCCGCCAACCACAGAACTGCAAAGAGATTAGAGTGTGAGTCCTCACAGCAACATAAGCCAGCCAGCACTTCATCACTTCTTGAGGAACAAACACTTTCAGTGCCTGTGCCGTGCCCAAGCACCAAAGCTGGAACTGCCATTTGCATGGTGGCTCTGGCTGCTGGAGTGTTTAAAAGCAGCCCCCTGCAGCCCACAGCTGCCGTGCAGCCAGCTCCAGAGCTGAGCCTGCTGCCTGCAAGGGCTGCTGCCTTGGCGTGCCTCGCCAGCTTGGGCAATCACAGCAGTTTGGGAGTCACAAGTTCCCCACAGCGACTTTCCTCGGAGTGCGTCAGCCGTGGAGCTCAGGAAGCCTCGGTGACTGTCCCAGTTACATCACAGAGGCGGAGGACATTTGGACAACTGTCCCTGCTGAGGCAAGCCTGGGATTGCACAGCGCATCTGGCACCTCATCCCGGGGCTGCTCGTGAGAAGGGCAGGGATGGAGCTCAGGGAGGAGAGAGGAGCTTAAGTGGGCTGGAAAGACTCACAGGTCATGTACTCATCGCATATCTGACCTGGGTCGGTAGCAGTCATCCTTTGTGTCTATGCTGAAGAAAGGATGGGTGGATAGACCAATGAACATGGAAGAAGGGAAGAAAGGATGGACGTAAGAAAGGATAGATGGAAGGTGTTTCATCAGTAAACGTAGAACTTTAGTCTTGCACAAATAGACATCATTATTTTAATAAAGCCGGTGCCAAACCTAAATTACCCCAACACTCCCATGATATAATCCCATCCTACGTGATTAAAAGATTTCCCAGCAAACTTGGAGATTAAGAAAACTGATCAAAAAATATTGAGAAATCTCTGTGCCCTACCTTAATGGATTCTTGTCTTATGCTTCTGACCCAGTCACCAGAGGGCTTCAGCCTCTTGATTGGAAAATCCAGCTGGAATTTAGGAGATGAGATACAGTAGTGAACAGGCACCGGACACAATTTGGCCATGGACATTTGTTCCCAATGGTCCTGCGACAGTGGCTTTTCTGGTCTGGTTTGTTGGGCTGGTTATTGATGCCCTTCATTACAATGGGAAGCTGAGGAAGTTGGAAAAGCCACATGAAGATGAAGAGAGGTCAGTTCAGCTGCCTCTCCCAGAGCTGCTGTCATTTGTGCTGAACAGGGAAATTAATTTTAGGAGAGAAAACTGGCTGTTGGGAGTAGATGTCCATCTGGATACACACGACAACAGGGGAATAAGCCTCAGGTCACTGCTGAGAGGGGAACGATGGAAACCTAACTGAGGAATTGTAATAAGCGGACAGAAAATCAGAGAGTAGAGCTTCAATGAGAGCAAGAAAGGATGGTAAGGGTTTTGACAGCAAAAAGGATACAGAAGCAAAGTCTGGAGGAAACAGGACTCAGCACCTCACAAAATCAGAGCACCTGCGACCTCCCAAACACATGGACCTCAGTCATGGTCAGCTCACCCAACCCCGGTGAACTCTCACCAGGAGAAGAGGAGCATATAAAGAGGGAAGGGCAAATATCAGAAATCAGACATGTGATCAGACTCAGGGTTGTTTCTTCTCCAAGCACCTTCACCTATTTATTTAGATTTCCTTTCTGCTGTGATAACTAAGCTGGGGTATTTCATTTCAGCTGCTTCATCACTGGTCAAAGTTTGTTGGATTTTTTCCAACTCACCCAGGTGTTTTGTTTCAGTGAATTCGTATCAAACAGACGAGGGAAAAAAAAAAAAAAAATCCGTCCACATCAGCTGGTATTCTTGACAGGTTCGGCGTCCCATGCCATTCCTAGTGCTGTTTGCGTTCCCATCTAGTGGCTACCTGGAAGATTACACTCCCGGATCCCCAGGTCTTGGCAGGAGCGTTGGGGAGTTAGCTGGGAAATTTCCTGGACAAAAGCAGTGTTTTATGCTCATTCTAAAAAAGGCACAGAACGTTCTGAGCTTAGGAATGCTGATATTTTTGTGTGCATCCAAAGAAAGGTGGAATTTATGGCTCTCAGCATTTTCTTCATGCAAAATTTGGAGCACCACCATCCCTAGCATGGATAAAAGAATAATGTTTTTGGCATAATGCCCTGTTTTGGATTAGAAATGGAAGCTGGAAAACCAGACTTCCCAGAAGGGCAGATGCATGGCCTTGGTCAGTGCTGATCTTAAATGCAGAGTTTCTCTGGGAGGTTCTCACCTGTTCTTGGGGTGATCAATCACTAATGCAAGACTCAATTTCCTGATATTTATGGCAAAGTTTTCCTGTCTTTGCAAACCAAAGGTGAGCATCAGCTGTCTCAGAGCTGTGCAGCCACAGGGAGCGTTTGTCAGCCTCATCCCTCACCTCTGCAGGAACCCTGAGCTGAGCCTGCCTTTGGCAGAGGCTGGAAGCCATGCCAAGCTCTGTGACGGATTTTATTCACCCCACAGCCGCCCTTCCTGTAAATTCATCACCTTCCAAGCGAGCTGCTCAAGCTCATGGTCTGAGAATGCAAGAGTCACCGTGCCTGGGGTTGAGCACAAGGCTGCTTTTTGCAGGCCTAGAGGGTCCCCAGCAGCCTCAGCTCTCCTCCTCTCAGTTTCTTCTAAAACCAAGTGTTTACTTTCTCTGTGGCTTCATGTGTAATGCCTAACACCTGTGAAATGAAGAATTTGGCAGTCCAGATACTTGAAATGTGATTCTAATATTGTCACTGTAGGACCACTTCTGAATTTTCATACAGTCTTATGCCTTTTTTTCAGTTCAGCTCCTTTTAAGTGTTTTTCATTTTATTTGCCACCACTCTGCTAATGGGAGGGAAAAATGGCTGTCTGGCTGCAATGCTTAGTGGCCTACATCATGCATGTTAGGATAAAATGCCTTTAAATACTAAAATAATTTAAGTGTAGTCAAACACCATTGAATTTTCTTCCTCTTTTTACACAGAAACATGTTAGTCCCAGGCAACTTGAGCTCTCAGCCCTGCACTTGCCACCTCCAGGTTTCTCCCTCCCTGTTGAAGCAGACCTCTGCTCCTGATGAAACATCCTGGGTGAAGCCTACAAGGAGAAGAGCCATGCAGACACTGGTACAGTGGTGATGTTGAGGGGCATTTTAGGAGTGGTGAGACCTCGTGTCAGCAAAGCACAGCTCTGAGAGTAGGATATGTGAGTGCACCTCAGAGCAGAGACTGGGCTTTGCTCCAGAGGGGCAGAATGTGCCTCTCCACAGTTGGGCACGGGCGGACCCAAACATGCCAGGCTGGCATCGTGGCGTGCCAGTGTAAACTGGGCCCTGTCCAAGGCCTTCAAGAACACTGTTTTTCCTACGTGAAGGCAAACCCACCTATAGGAGGAAATGAGCCTGTGCCTAGGAAACCTCCTTGGCAGCATGAGTGTGCAATCTTTATGCAAATAGCCCTTACTCACGAGGTGTCTCAGCAGCCCTGTCCTGGGAACACGCTGGCCCCACACTGCTGGGACACACAGGACACACAGGCGAGGGGTGACACATGGGGAAGGGGGGACACCAGGCGCTCTACCTGCTCAGGTTCCTCTGAGGGAGGGAAGCAGCTTCCAAAGCCCTCACTGGCCCCGACTTCAGCACGCTCCAGCTGCCAGGACTGACTGATTCCAGCAGCACCTTTCTAGTTTGCCAAATTTCATGCCCCTTTGCTGGCACTCCGGCACGGTTCAAGGCAGCTGGAGTCACGAGGGCACAGCACCAGTAGTCAAAAGCAGGCACGCCAGCAAACAATGGGATTTCCAAGGGAGCATAACTAGCATGCCTGTGAAATGGAGTGTTCTCCCGAGCTTCTTTGCTTGCTCATGGCCTGTGAAAAAAATCAAAATCCAGAGAGATCTACGTAATCATTGTTGTGCGTAGGAAGCCTTGCCTGGGCTTTGTGCTAGGGAAAAAACTTAGCTATGGCAAAGGTGAGAGGAAAGGAGTTGATAATTGCTGTAGGCTTCTCCTGTGATTCATTCTTTCTCCACATACCAAATGATTTCAAATAGGTGAAGAAAATTCACCACCTGATGCACCTAATGTGAAGGCACTAGGAAGATCTCAAAGCAAAAAAGCTATGACAGAAGCTGCACTTCCAGGAGAAAATTCCCAAACAATCCTCACATGTCCTTTATTTCTCTGCTGCTCTGGACACAACTGGAAATAATGTGCAAGTCTCTGTCATGTGCTCCTAGTCCTAATGGGAGGTTGCATTCCCCAAAACAAGCAGTACTGTATAATTTGCTCACAGGATCTGTGCTCTCAAATGAGCTGTGATAAACATCTCCCAGGTGACTTCATACCCCATTCCCCAAGGTGAGGAAAGGGACATAACAAACTCAGTCAGAATCCCTGCTGCAGCTCCCATCAGCACCAACACGCTTGAGGTTAGCCAGACTTCTGTGGCCAAGACCCTTAAAGGTAGGCCCAGATTGTTGCCAAAATGCCATACAGTGGCATTTTCATTTGGGGAGGCTTCTCTTAATTTAAAGATTTCTGCTCTGGCTCTTTTTCAGCTCAGTCTCTAAGACACTAGGGCAAAACCATCTCTGTTTTCCAAGTATAGGCATAATTTTTCCAGCAGCCACCCTGCTCACATAACTACACGTGGTCTCCAAGTCAGTGCATCCTGGGATTGAGCTGGTAGATCTCCAAACTCAATGAACAATAGTCACACAGCTTCTGCTACCTTGAGCACACTTCACATTTTAACTTTTTTTTTTTTTTTCTCTTCTCTTTAGAATGAGGACCTCTTGAGCCCTTGCAGAATGATCCAGTAGCTCCATACACCTTTGGGAGGTGATGAGCTGGGTGCTCTCCTCAGCCAGGAACTGTTGTGGGCTGCAATATGGAGATGCTAGAGAGATGACTGGATGATTTTGCTCATCTAAGAATGGTGTGGTAAGCTGAATATGTAAAATAGTGTGCACTGCAGGTGAAGAGCTATCATTCTGAAGGTAAAGGGCTACAGTAATGTTGCCAGGTAAGTGAGTGTCAGGCACTGGCTATAGCAGCTGAGCCTTTGTGTCTTTAGAGATTCCTATCTAAAGCATCTTCTCCCTTCTGTCCAGTGCTGTCAGCAGGGTGGCTTTGCACTGGGGTACCACTGGGGAGCCTGGCTTGGGCTGCACACGGGGATAGCCACGAGCTTGCCCTCTTCAGAGCATCCTGGGAGAACTTCTTGCTAATTGCCTCAGGGAAATAGAAGAAAGGGCAGCAATTTTCAGTTCAGCATGGCAGGATGTGGTATTTTAGAGAAGAAGATTGTTAGCTGAGGGGCAGCTCCTCATTCTAGTGTAAATCCAGTATTGCTTCACCCACGTCCTGGCTTCAGGCCCTTAAAATTACTGCTGGGGTCAGCATGTGCCCCCAAGCATTTGCAGGTTGAGCCAATGCACAAAAATGAGTGGGTGAGTGCTGGAGGATGTGTTTGGTCAAAGGAGAGCTACTCAGTGCATGCTGTGTGAAAAATGGAGCCTCTGAAGCCCAGGACAGGCAACTTCCCAGAAGTCTTCCTAGCAGGCAGCAGGATGGCTGTCCTGGGCAGGCTTGCAGCACGTTTACCCCATCCCTGAAGCTGGGCATGTCCTGCTGAACTCTGCCCAGTGCCAGTGAGATGCAGCAACTGGAGCCACATGGCACAGGGTGCTTTGCAAATGATCAGGCTGAGCTCCCCACTGCCTGCCATTCAGGAAAGCCTGTGGAAAGCAAGTGTAAAGTCCCACTGCTGTCATTTGGTAGCATCGCATTCCTTAGCACTGCTGTACGTTTCATCAGATTAAGCAGGGGTGCTCTGGGTCCCAGGAGTTGATGTTGTCTGAGAAGGTACCCCTTAGATTTTCAGGAGGGACTTTTTCCATTGGTATTGCTATAAGTGACAGAAAATTTTACGAAATCTTGTCATCACAGGGCCAACAGATTCTGTTCCTTTTGTTTTTTCTCCTTAGACATGCTCCAAAAGACATGCTCAAATGTGGAATGTTGGAAAATACAGAGCAGTGGGCAGACTTTCCTGGGAGAACAGTGTATAAATTCTTCCCTTTTTGGACATGTTTTACTCAGGCAACCCCTGCTTCATTTAAGTCCCCAGGAAAGGAGCAGAGCACAGGGAGAAGTCACTGTCTTAGCAAAATGGTTCTTAGCTGAGGGCTTTCTCAGCAGGGAAGCACAGCCACCTCAACACTGCAGGCCAACAAACTGTACCAATATCCAGAAAAGCAATATCCAGGCCTTTCCCTTCCTTCCTCCCCTACACCCTGGCTGTGTACTTGCATGCTCTTTATTACAGCAATCTTGATTTACATCAGCAGGAACCGGAGTCACACATGCCTCACTTCAAAGCTCCCTCCCTGCCTGTGAGGGAGCTGCTGATAGCAGCAGATAGTGGTGTCTGCAGCTCACAAGTGAAGTGAAAGTCTGGTGAGCTGCCCAGACAGACACCACTCTGGTTTGAGTCATTACCCTTTTCCACCTGTTCTCAGCTGGATGGATGAGAAAGGATAACTCATGTTCAAACACCAGGTCAGCTGTGCCTGCCCTTGCAAAATAAACATTTGATGTCAGTGAAGAACATTAATGGGATGGTATTTCAGGTACTTCCTTTCCCTTCACGCATTTCTCAGGGGTTTTATCAAAAGTAAAGAGAGTGAATAAGATCCCAGAAGGCACTCAGACTCTGCTGGAAGCAATGATGTCCAAGGCCTGGCAGCTGTCAGCATGGGTGGCACAGCTTCTCCACAAGTCCATGCCTATGCCCTGGATGATCACGGCACAGCTGGGAAGTGATGGCTGTGAGCTGCCCACCCCCTGTTCCACAAACAGGGATCTGAGGGGCAAGAAGATATCAACTATGTCACCTGCACTGGGTGCTGCCAGGTGCTGTCTGAGCCCAGTCTGTGCTGAAGGTTTTCAAAACGATGGTCGAGGCCCAGGGGGGACTAGCCAGGCTCCTGAGCCCATCTCATCTCACTTCACTGCCAGCCTATGGAAAACCAGGTCTGGCTCAGGGCAGGTGCCAGGAGCTGTGCCTGAGCACACAGCCCCCTGCACAGGTTCCCCGCTCATCTGTAAGCTGCACCCGTTTGATCTCACCAGCCTTTGGGGCTGTTCCCTGGGACCAACCTCATGGAAGAGCCGAAACAAGGACTCTCTGAGCAGCAGCTCCAGCCTGGGTGTCCTGCCAGAAAACCCCGGGTGCTGCCGGGAGCGAGCGGTGGCTCAGTAGGTGGCACTCTGCATCCACAGGGAGCCAGCACCTTCCCAAAGGTGAGCCCTGCCCTTGCAGCCCCAGCAACCACAAGGCCCCCGTGCAGTGGGGCAGCCCGGGGGGCTGAGCCTTGCAGCCCCCCTCAAGGCTGCTCCTCCCTGCACCACGTCTGGGGTTACCCTCTGGAAGTTCATCCTGAGAACAGAATCCAAATGTCCTTCCAGCCCTGGAAGAGGGCAATGGCCAAGGTTAGTGCCTTTTGCCTCACAGCACACAGAAGAACTGGGGCTTGTGGCAGATCCCACTCAGAATGCCCTGAAATGTGTGGTATCTGGAGGGTGTTCTCTCCAAGAAACAGCCAAGCAGGGCTTGGCCAGGAGGCTGCCATTTGGGAAGAGCTCCCCTGATGTCCTACCGGAACCTCTCCATGCATAACTGGGTACCCATCACCATCTGGCTGCACTTTCTGGACTTTGGGGAGTTGTGCTGGTTGATACCAGGCTGCCCCTTCTTCTTCAAGCTCACAGGGAGGAGTAGCAGGAGGAAGTTGATGAAATGGCAACTTCAAAACATGGCAAGCCAAACTCCTCGCTGCTGGCAGTCAGTGAGATGGAGCTATCAGCTGGAGACTGGAGAAGAGAGGGAACACGGTGAGTCAGCTGCTGGATATGCTGTGTTTGGTCTCCTAACAGTGCAGGTAACACGGGCAATTGCACTTGGGACATGCAACCTTTCCCCCGCTAAGCCTCTTCCAATTGCTCAGCAGTTTGCCAAGTGCAGCAAATGGGACTGGAATGTTCAGTGCTCAATATATTTCTCAGACTGGGCTTAAAAAAATGAAAATGTTTCCAGTGAATCTCTGATATAAAGAATGGGAGAAATATTTTGTTTTAACAGCTGAAGAAAAGAAAATTTGTGGGGAAAGCTGTGGTGCCTGGCTGAGGAAGCCAGGCTTGAGCACACCAGGAAGAGGGAGGAAGAGAGGGAGGATTCCTGGCTGACAAACCTTGCTTTGGCCATTCTCAAATCACCAACCTCATGTTTCAGCAGAAGAGACCCCAAAGTCTCTGCCTCTGGAGAAACTCCCCTCACATGCAAATGATCTCTGTGAACTCCAAGCACTGAGACTTACAGAGGTCTTGCAGGAAGGGAAATTCCAGTCCAAGGGGGAAAGGAGGAACCCTGTGAATCCCCTGACTGTCCCCCAAATAGCCCAGGAGCTGCTTGTTGACTGCCTGCAGAGCTCTCTGACGTGGGGTTGCAGTGAGGATTTGCCTTTTCTCTGCTGTGCCTCTGAGGACAGGCAACAAAGGGGATATACGACAAAAACCCCAGAAGTAAAGTGTCAGCTTATGCCAGTGGTTTCAGACAGTGTCTGTTGCACAAAAGGGCAGTCAAAGGTTTGCTGGAGCTGTCTCTGTCATCTTAACAACTGAGTGACTGATTCAGCATCTTCTTTTCCAGATCTCTTCGGCATTGCCTCTCAGAATTGGCGTGACATGGCAAAGGCACCAGGAACCACATATCGTGTGTGTGCCCGTGGAAGAAGGGAGAAGGTTCAATGACTGAACCACTTGGATCTCTGCCACCTCGAGCAAAGGCTCCATCAGCTTCCTGAGCTGTGAGTAACATTCTGTCCTCTTTCAGTTAAAAGGTCCAGATCCTGCTTTCCCAAGGCAGAATTACTGCCTGCTGCTCTCCCAGCCTGCTGTGCCATGGGACCGAAGCAGGGGGTACCAGTGCCTTTCATCCTTGACTCCCTGGGCTTCTCTGGGTTCCTATGCTAGACCAGCACATTACAACCTGCTGCCCCAGTTCTTCTCCCCTCAAAGCAGCAGTTCCTTCTACAACTACCTGAAAGGAGGTTGTAGTGATGTGGAGCACCTGGTCTCTTCTGCTGTGCTTACAGTGAGAGCACTAAAAGAAGTGGCCTTAAGAGAGACCGGATTGGATACTAGAATAGTGTTTTCACCGTTTAGGTGCTCAGGCACTGGAATTGTTCACCCAGGGAGGTGATGGACTCACCATCCCTGGAGGTGTTCAAGAAGCATCTGGATCTGGCGCTGGGCGATGTGGTTCAGTGGTTTGGGGTTTACAGTGGCAGTGCTGGGTTGATGGTTGGACTCGGTGGTGTTACAGGTCCCTTCCAACCTTGGTAGTTTGGGGATCTTTCAGCAGGTCTGCTTCCCGCTTCTTCACACAGCAGCCCGGAGAGGTGTCCGTGGGGAGGTGCCCTCCGGGGAGTGCACCTCGGGGCAGGTGTCCTGCGGGCAGCTGTGAGTGGCAGTGCCCCCGAGGAGCACATTTGACCCTGCCCGATGGGTGGGTGCTGCCGCTTACTCAGCCCTTACTCATGAGCCGCTCAGAGAGACGCAACCAGCGAGGCGAGGGGGGGGAAGGTGGTGTTCATTACCGGGTTTATCGCTGGAAAACACTTCTCGGGGAGATGCGGGAGAGCAAGGAGCACGGAGCCAGCCGACAGACGGGTGTGCCCGCAATAACTCGGCGCGGTCCCGACTCCGTGCTCCCCGCGGGATCCAGGCTGCCCAGGGAAGCTGTGGGCGCCCGATCCCTGGAGGTGCTCAAGGCCAGGCTGGTCGGACGGGGTTTGGAGCGACCTGGTCTACTAGAAGGTGTCCTTGCCCGTGGCAGGGGGTGGGATGAGGTGGTATTCAATGTCCTTTGCAGCAACAACAACAAAAAATCATCGTGAGATTCTATGTTTCTATCAGCCTGTGATTCTGGGATTCTACGATCCCGCCCCGCCCCGCCCCGCCCCTCTGACGCCGCTCCACGTCCGCGCCCCCAGCTCCAGCCGCCCATAAAGTGGGCGGCGGCGGCAGGCGGCTCCTCATGGAGCGCTGTGCGCCGCCGGCACCTGTTGTGCTACGGCGACTCCTTTTTCCCCCTCCTTCTCTCAGTGTCTCAGTCGCCACCCGCCCCGGGACGGACGATGAGGGCCGTGGTGCTGATGGCGGCGCTGGCCGTGCTGGCAGGTGCGGGGTTTGGGGGGAGACCGGGATTCGGGGGAGACCCTGAGGGCTTGTGGGGGGGGGCTCGCGCCTGAGGGCAGCCCGCGCGCGGCGGCCGTGGGCGGGAAAGCGCTGAGGCGCGTGAGGGACGCCGCGGCCGCTGAGGGTCCCCGCGGTGCCGCTGAGGGTCCCCGCGGTGCCGCTGAGGGACCCGGCGGTGCCGCTGAGGGACCCGGCGGTGCCGCTGAGGGACCCGGCGGTGCCGCTGAGGGACCCGGCGGTGCCGCTGAGGGACCCGGCGGTGCCGCTGAGGGACCCGGCGGCGCGGCTGAGGGACCCCCGCGGCGCCGCGGCGCGGCTGAGAGACCCCCGCGGTGCCGCTGAGGGTCCCCGCGGTGCTGCTGAGGGTCCCCGCGGCGCGGCTGAGGGACCCCGCGGTGCCGCGCTCGGCGGCGACCCCTCTGCCCGCCCCCGTCCCGCTCACGGCGCCCTCTTCCCTTCCCTCAAAGTGAACCGAGCGGCCGCCGGGTCCTCGCCCAACGCTACGGAGCCGCAGCGGCACGAGGAGCGGGAGCCCGGGAGCCGCGAGGGCGAGCCCGTGCCGGGTCCTGACTACGAGGAGGATGAGGAGGAGTACGAGGAGGCGCCGCCCGTCCACCAGTACATCGTGGACGACTTGATCCGAGGTGAGTCGGCGGCCCTGGGACTGGGATCTCGCAACTTGCGAGCCCCAACTTACGCCTTTTCTTGTAAGCGCTGCTATGCTTAGCTCGTCGACTTTGGAGCAAAAAAAAGTGCTTGTGCTTGAAGCTGCTGCTTTGGAAATAGCTGTCAGGGGTGGAAACCTAGCGTTGCCACCATGTGCCCAGGGTGTGTGGAAGCTATCGGCCAGCCGGGAGGTTGCTGTGTGAAGCTGTATTTCTGATAAACCTCACAGGAGGACTGTAGCGACCACCTGCTTAGTGTAGAAGCATCAGTGGAGTTTATAGGTGCTCTTTGGCCCTAAAGGTTTGTTTTACACCAAGTTGTCTGTCTTGCTGCAAGAATTTTTCTGGGTAATTTTTGATGGTGGCTTCTTTGGGTTAGAGTCAGCTGAAGTTTTCTTGGGAAAGCAGATACTTAAATCCCTTAAGTGGCCACAGGAAAGTTTGTTAAGCATCTTTAGGCCAATGCTTCACTGTCAATAGCTGTTGTGTGTATTTATTGTAATTTTCCCACTTGCTGAGCTGTGAGGAGATCTGAGCATTCCACCTTACTGTGGGAATGGGAGTATTTTGTTGGTTCTGGGCTGAGTGTAGATGCAGTACAAGCCAGGTATCTACAAGTGATTTGAACCTCAATAGGTGTGAGTAGGCTGGTCCCATTGCCTCCAGGGTGAATCTGACTACTGATTTTCCTGCAGAAGCACCCTGAGACTTGAATGTGACTAAAGGGCCTCTTAAATTAAGTGAGAACACGCTCTCTGTGGTCACTTAAGGGAATTGGTGGACTTCTGCTGAAGTTCCTTGTGAAGGTCTCTGGGGAGCCGCACCTGTTGGTGTGATCTAGCAGCTTAGCCTGTCAAACTACTGGCTTGGTGACTGAAGTGTTGACTTAACTGCACAGAAACCAGACTTGTTACCTAAGGTGGTTGGTTTGTAGACCAGCTCCTCTGCTTGGCGTGAGGTTTATCTGTGGATAAACCTTGAAGCTGTTATGATTCAGCTGTGGATGGCTTTCCTGGCCATGCAGCCTGCAGACAGGGACACAGAGATGGAGCTGACAAGGTGAGCCTGGGAGAGGGAGGCAGGGAAGCAGCCTCAATTATGAAAGCGAGAACCTAAAGATCAAGTCAGACGGGATGGAACAGGGGCCTTTGACTGTCAGGAGTCGGCTCACACTTCCAGGCACAGGAAACCTTGCTGCAGGAACGGTGTACCTTGTTTGCATATTAATATAGCTCATACCGTTTTAATCAGACTTCTGGTTGCTGAAGGCATTTTTGCTTTTAAGTAACTTCAAGCCAGGCTTGTTGCTCTAGAAGTGAAAATGATCAGCTGTCTAGACAACAGTGACCTACACCTTGTTTCTTTGAATGGGCTCTCAGCACCAGAAATACAGGGTTAGGAAGTAGTTAGATCCAGTTGTGCCCTATTGTGGTGACTGCCTGTATGCATAGAGCTGTGGCTAAAATATTAATCACCCAAAAATGATTTTCATTAGGTCTTCAGAGCACAAGAGCAAAACTGAAGCTTGTTGTAAATAGCTCTGCTGTTTCCTAGGCCCTGTTTAAATCCCCCGGGTAACTGTTGCTCCTGAGCAGCCCTGCTGCACTGCCAGGGCTGGTTTAGGGCTAGAAGTGCAGGGGGAGGGTTCTTGGAAAAGCTTGCTGTGCCATTAGTCCAAAGTAGTGCTGTTGAACTCGGATTGCTGCATGGGACAGCTCTGGAGCTGACCCTCAGTCAGCGGCTGGTTTGTTCTCCTCAGCGAAAGGAACGTGATTGCCCTTCCTTAAATCCAAGGGCTACTAAGTCACCAGGATTTTAAACCACACTCTTCTAGAGGTTTGTCCTAATTGAGATAATGAGGGGCAGCAGTAAGCGGCAGAATAAATAGTCTGACTGTTGCAGATTCTTGCCTTCGCTCCTTCCCTGCACTCAGCATCTCTCACAAAGTAGGAGAACTGGAAAGGAGCTCTCTCCTTCTGAAGACAGCACGGCAGGTTGTTTAGGAGGAGCGAGTATGCCAACCGGGATAGCAAGCTGCTTTGCCTCGGCAAGTGCCCAGGACTATCTAGCGAGTTACAGTGCCTTTCATCACTGATGCAAATGGAGAGTTTAGAGACATTAGCCAGGCACCTGAGTCCATATA